GGAAAGTACTCACGAGATGACAGATAACACTCTCGTTTGCTATCTCATTGCATAATGTTTTATATTTGCCCAATCCTCCTGACTATACACCGGGGTCCCAGCCGAAACCAAGATATTCACGACGCCCCATCGCCCTTTATAAAGTTTATGACGCCGTATTGCACGCTCTTGATAAGATTAGATAATTTATTTTCGATTCCTGAAGGAAAATTGAGATGGTAGGAGAAGCGGGATAAATCGACAAGGTGATGAATACGGGTGGTTAAGCGTTGTTCTGTGTTCTCAAAAAAGAAGAATGGTTGTTCAAGATAACGATCATCACCGGAGCGTCTGACAGTCACCAACTTCGGAAAATTCAGCTCGGAACCGGGTCGAATCGTGTCTATGTCCAATGGTTCGAGATAAACGTGCACTGTTGCCAAAAAGCCGGTGACCTTCTTACGTCCGGGTCGAAGTAGTGAGCGATGGATGGCGAAACGAGAGGTTAATCACCGTTCAAAATCTCGCCATATTCGGGTACCCGAACATAGCTCTTCACTACCTGTTCTTTTTCTTATTCGTCGGCCTTGATAACAGGGGGCAAGATAGATACCTGGAAATATATAGCGCAGTAAGGCTTATTTTCAACGAAATGAAGCAAAAGCAAGCACAGAGCTCAAAGGGCTGTGGAAGACGCACTCGTCAGGTAGTGACTGCGGCCCAAGAGACGATCGGTCGATACGCGCATGATAATTCAATTCTACCTGTGACCCTTCCATATCCCATGTACCTGCACGCCAAAGCTCCGGGGGTGTGTGTTTCATCTTTCAGTTTCCCCAGAGGGGCAGATGATAATACCCAACGTTTACCCCTTCAAGTGTGAGTAGAAGTAGAGCTTCCTGCATATAAAATTTAGGCAATTGACTCCCGGTTTTGATTGAGTAGAAAAAGATTCAATATCAACTTCAGGGATCCCGACGAGCCTGGTTCGAACAGGCGACCCCAAGATCGTACTTCCCGGCAACCTATTACAGTTTTGTGCTCTTCCAACTGAGCTATGGTCGGATGGGAAGAAGAAGCAAATATAATCGGGATCAGCGCAGGAGGATTGCCGAGCACAGCCACGACGATTTCCTGCGGGCCGGTGACCAAAATCGTCATCTTGCATTTTGCTTCTTGACCACGAGTGACGACAGTGAATGCAGGCGACGAAATCTCCGCCTTCATACTTTCTTGTCTGATCTCTATGGCTCGCGACTAAAGGAATCCTGGTCTCTGACTTCTCGAGTTGTATGTCTCAGTATCATTCTCCCCATTTTCTGAACTGATCACAGACCAACTTCCACAGGTCAACTCAAAAGCCGCGAAGATTAGATACTAATATATTGGAACCGTACTGAGAGATTATCTGGAGAACGAAGGGGGTCCTCATGCATATGGAAAAAATGGCAGACCTTGAAGACTGTTGGACCAATCTGAAGTCGCCTGGAAGGTGAGTACTTGAGTTTTGAGACATTTTTTCGATTATGCGCAATGTTGACAGCCCTATTCAACCTACGTCAGGAGATTCAAGACGTCGTAGCGTGCCATCGAGCAGGTCCAAAACATGAAGTTACAATCACAACATCTTGCTTCGAGATCCTCCAAGGCCGATCACAGTCTTCTGAACCTCCGTCGCTATGCCGGGCACTCTTCTCCGCACGACTTGCAACTAACTCCGGGGGCATGAGACACGCGTAACCTTTGGATGCGGTAGTTGTAAGTACATGTTCGGGTGGAATACGCGCATGTACACGATATGATACGTTCATCCTACTCCATCGTCCTCGTTGTTGTTCACTCACCTACCGGTTTGACTCAGTTCAGTGCTCGGTATACAAGGCACCGAATGCCCCCTGCGGAAACGAGCTACACATTGCACTTCGGACCGGAAACTATTGGTCTACGGTAACAACTGCTACAGATTGGCGTGCCCAGTGACGGAGATGTCGTAGAAGAGCTAACGGCCTGACTGGTGGGTTTTTGTGTTGGTGAAGGATGCGGTACTATCTTTCCTATACGGTATGTTACGTACCGAGGGGTGCCTCTCTGATGCTCATAGATGTATGTCTTTGGAATCCTGCCACGATGCTCGAGCCCCAAGTCTCTCTTTCGCGCCGACTATTCTATCGAACCTCTCGGAGTTGATGCCAGCACACGATGACCCTAGGAAACAACTCTCACGTTCCTCTCCCCCTCGCTCCATACCTCCATACACGCGTTTCCTGCCGAAAGAAACGACCCCAATCGCTACTCGAACCCAACTCCTCCTTCCTTCAAGCGGTACTTGTCGTCCGATGCAGATATAGAGTATATCTTGTGAATTCTTCACCCAAACGCGCTCAGCCCCGGTATTCTTCGAAAGTTGCTTCGTGGTATTGCCCATGAACACGGATATGGCAAATTTGCGGAGTTGCTGAGAGTTGGGTAGGGATACCCAGTAGAGGCTCAAATCGACCTTCCCGTCGGACTTGTTACCTCCTACCACCATCATCCCTTTACACAGCACATACCCCATTCCTCTAACTTCCCAACTACATCTCCGCCCTGGGAACTGTACCCATCAATTGCCATGAGCAATTCCTTGCGCTCGCTAGCGGGTCCATATCCCCTGCAATCCTCGCTCCGTAACTCCGACGTCCTTGGAGGCGTACCCCGACTCTCGCTGCCACTCCTTTCTCCGCCCTATCTACAAACGGACCGCACGTTTCAACCTTAGTTGTATGATCTGGTCACTCATACTACCGCAATCCCCCCAATCCCCGTCATCCATCATCACCCTCGACGCTCTAGGGGAAGCTGTTTCAGGGTTGCCTATCATGAGCGGTGATATGACAACTTCGCTGGTCGTTAGGAGGTTCGGTCAAAGAGATGATCATACGAGACGCCGAGAGAGGTAGATGAGCTACATCTTGCGTGCTATCGTCTACCCCGAGAGACGGATTGATGACGCTCCGATCCTTGTAGTGGCTCAGTGATCTGATCTCCCGGTTGCAACTAGCTCCGCTTTTCGATAGAATGTGGCCACTTGCACGCCCACCTACCTTCCATTACCAATAAACCTCGTTGTGCAGCACTAATGATATTCTTGACGCTCCTCTTCTCGCGAGCAGCTCTATTTACATGTGCAGCTCAGTACGGTGATGCGCGGTCGCATTGGAGGCAGGAGGTGAGGCACAGTCGTCTGCCTCTGCCTCAGTCGAACGTTCGTCGCTGGTTAACATTCTATTCTTCTTCAAGAAAAACCGGAACCTGTGGACACCGTTTTTCCCGTTCATGCTAGAACAATCCAAGAAATTGACATCGTCCAACCCGCTCAAGAATGTGTGTCTCCGAGATGCCTCCTGAGACGAGTCTCAGTGGTACTGTGGTACTCTATATGCGTGCGTTCTACCTTCGAACTTTATTTTTTGGTCTTTCATCAACGTACCGTTCACAGCTTTCTACCTGAAGATACTGCACCGGAAGAGAATATTATCTGACGACGCTAAAACATGTCAGGGCGGCGAGTCCGCTTAGCCGGCAAGGCGAACGGGGACGGGAGAGTGAGAGCTGAAAATTCACGATGGGGTCGGGTGGTGGTCCCTGGAGATTAATGATCAACCCTACAGTCCTCGTCGTCGTCTCTATATCATGATTATCGCATGGCATCAGAACGGTTCAACAAACATGATCAAATCTAGTAATTCTCTCAACTGTTTCGGGTTCAACCAGATGAACCTTACTCATGTTGAATACTAAGCGATTCAGCCAGTTCTATTCGTGCCATCACCATGATAGGCTAGGTGCGTCTTTCATTCTTTCCCCTGCCACGTTCTCCCGTGAACGGACCATCTGGTCGTTCATAGGGAGGAGGATGTCTCCCGAACCCTCTCGAGGGAAGAGATGAGCCATTGCTGTTGAAATGTAAGAAAAAAGCTACCGAATCTACCCATCAACACTCACTCCTGAGTTGTCGGCGCGCCCATGACCGAACTTGAAAGGAGGCAGGTAATCGCAAGTGCAAGGGGGGTAATCTGGAAGCGCATAGTGCACGAGAGGACGTGGAGGTTGACGATAGATAAGGCGGCTCTGGACAAGCCCGCAGATTGTTGGCATCGGATAGACCGTTGAAAAGCTCGACACTCACCAGCCGAAAAAAGACCAACTAGTGGTATAGAAAATCACGTAAAAGGAAGGGGGAATGGACAGAAATGCATTTCACGGGCTCCTTTTATACGATGTATGCGGCCCAGTTTCCATCATTGAGCACTCTGATATCTCTCGGCATCCTTTCTTACCGTCCGCCCATCTGCTGTTCAGGATGGTTGCATCATCGAGATGATCAACTTTTGAGGTTTGAGCGCACCAGGAACAGATATCGCCAAGATGCACGCAGAAACTAGAATATCACACAAGATGATCAAGTTGTTATAGTCTTGAGCGAAAAGCGTGATTATCATGCGTTTTACAAGCGCAGTTCTGTGTTGACAGGAACGATGATAACTAATAATATCTCAGACTCTTAGCGAAAGCTCCCACAGTCCGCTTTCTGATGTGGCCAACACCCTTTCAAGCGAACATAGGCGTTCTCGAAGGCCTCTCCTTTGAGGTCTGTCCTCGTTTTCGGGGACCTCTTCAGATATATTCTCGACCAAAGTTTTCGGTGAACTAATCCCATCGGCCCAAAGCTGTTCTCTCCAAGGCGATGGCGCAGACAGCGTGCCACCGAGAATGCCGTCCATCTCTACCGCCAGATGATCCAAAAGGAACAGCAATGAAAGATCGGGTTTGGGAACTTTGTGAGATGGTCCGAGGACTCATGCAAAGCGGTGACGATGTATACGGATTTTAACCTGGCTGCATCTGAGTTGCGGGCCACGTTGAGGGTCGGGAAAAAGAGTTGCAGGCACTCGGACAGAATACTCAATGGCTTTTACTTTCAATAGATGAGTGATGAGCGTTGCACAAGTCGATCAGTCTATACGTTCCTGTCATTTTGAGGAGATACATCCCATGTTTCCTGAATCCTATGTGCCTTTCCAGGGTCTAGACCACGGATTTAGGGGAAACCATCAGATGAAACCGCAAGCCTGGCAACCTTATCTGCTTGCACAATCAAAATGATTTACAATTGTGCACTTTCATTGAGAATACCGATGCCGCGAACCAGTTGAGCGAAACCTTGAATGTATCGTCGGCTGGCGGAGAAAGTACCTGTATTTGTTGGGTGTACCATCGTCGTGAGCTCATCAAAGACTCACGAGTGACACAAAGATTGGGATGACGAAGTAATATTCAAGGACACACCTGCGGCCTCACAAACACCGGATACAGCCACCGGCAAGTTCCGACCCTCAAAAACTTGGCTGTCGTTGGCCGGTTCGTTGCTTTCCGACCGTCATCTTCGTCGAATACAATACAACGAGCTCGCCTCGAGCATCATGTACTCGTGCGTACCGTCCTATGATGCATGCTCCTCCCTCATTGCTTACATTTTGTACTTACGACTGGACGTTGGACGTATGACTATAGAGATCAGAATCACTGCTAGCGTGGACTCGGAAGTTGATATCCGCTACTCCAAAACAACTATTACCACCATTTTAAATGGGCATCACTCACTGATCAATACTCTCTCCTCAGTTTGACACCGTGACAACCGCACCAATACGCCCCTATTGCTTATACCCGAAAGTCATCTAAACCTCCACGCTACTCTCCATTATTGGGGTCACTCACGCCACCATACCTCACTAATTCCAGAGCATCCGTCGTTTCGCCCCTCCCTGTCAGTCCCAATACTTCGGGACGATGGGTGTATTGGCGTAAGTCATTCTTATCCTCCCGGCCTATCGAAGGGGAGGGATTTAGAACATCCCGTGGACTCTCGAGGGAGTGGTCTCCCACCTGGAATTGGACATTGCTCAGTGTCAGTACGTCTCTTTTGCTGGCTTACGTCCTTATTCCCCTGACGGTTACTTCATGGCAACCTCTCCCGAATAGTATGTGTCCCAATTTTCTCGTCTTTAACCCAAGCCTCGGCC